CTCCTCCTCCTCCTCCTCCTCCTCCCTCGGGTTCGGCCAGCGCTGCCCTGCTCCTCGGGCGGCGGTTCGTGCCGTGCCGTCGGCCCCGGCCTGCTGCGCGCGCGTGCGGGCGGGCCTTGCCGCGCTCCGACGAGGAGCGTGCCCCGGGCGGGGCGCCGGGCGCGACGGGCCGGGGCCCAGGGCCCCCCCCGGCAGTCCTTTCCACTCCATCCTCCCTCGTCCTCCTCCTCCTTCGCTGTCGCCGTCGCCCCCCCCTCGCCTTCCTCATCCTCTCCTCTTCCCTCCCGGCTCCTCTTTCTCCTCCTCCCCCCCTCGTCTTCCTCCTTCTCCCTGCTCCTCATCCTCTTTCCTCCTCCTCCTCCTCCTCCTCCTCCTCCTCCTCCATCTTCCCTCTTCCCTCTTCGCTCATGCTGCTGCTGCTGCTGCCGCTGCTGCTGCTGCTGCTGCTGCTCCTCCTTTTCTCCCTTGGGAGAAGCAGGATCAGGAGCAGGAGGAGTGAGGAGGGAGGGGGAGGTGGGCGGAACGAGGGAGGAAGGACACCCGGACATCGTCCGTAGCACACCGAGCTTTTGCTCGAGCAGGCGCCAGGAGCCTCCCGCGGGAGGGGAGGACCGACGCGGTCGCCGCGCGCCCCGCGGGTGCCATGGCCGACGACCTGGAGCAGAACCTGCAGTTCGCCAGCGAAGAGAACAAGCAGCTAGACGCGGAGGTTCGGCGGAAAGAGGCCGAGCTGCTGCGCATCGAGGAGACTTGGAACGCCAGCTGCACATCTGCACCATCTTCAGCGCACTTCCCCTGCACTGGCACGAAGCGTGCGCCTGCACACCTGCACACCCCGCACACATGCGCTGCACCCTCCCTGAGATCTGGGCGATGCGACTTTTCCACACCAGGCGTTCTCGCCCGGCTTCGGGCCCCAGGGCCATCACAGGTCGATCCGGCTTAAGACGTGCTGCAGAAGGGTTTCGGGCGTTGGTCGTGGCTTCACGCGACGTTGCACTTTTTCCGCAACGTCGGATCGGATCGTAGGGCGTGCACCTGCACTCGTGCGCACTTCCGCACTGGCGCACCCAGGCCGGGCCCAAGTCTGGGTCCCGGGGTCGGCGCGCGTGCCCTCCGGGTCAGGCCAGGAGGGCGTGCGCGCGTCGATCCAAGATGCGCAATGTCTCGTGCCCGATCCAGAGCAGCTGATCAGACATCGGAGTTTGCAGCTCGCCACAGCAACACCGCCGCGCCACACCGCGCAACACTGCTCACCATCTCGCAACACCGCGCGAACGTGCACGACACCGCTCACCACCGCGCAGTGCCGCCCCCTTCCCCGAGCGGCGCGGCGGCACCACACCGCGCCCTTCACGGTGTTGCGCCGTGCCGGTGCCCGAGTCGTTTCCCGGAGGCTCCTGTGGGTCGGACGCGTAAGCCTGGCCAGGATCGGTGTTTGTGTCTCTAGTGACCTCTGGCCTATCCCGCCACCGTGCCTGGTGGGCCTCCAGGGGGTCTCTGAGGAGCCTCTGGGTGGGGTACCCTCCTGGGGGGGTAGGGGGCTTCCAGTGTCCTGCTGGGGCGGGTGCAGGTGCACAGTTGGTGCCCCCTTCCCAGGAGAGGCTAGAGGGAGATGGCGGGCGGGTGAAAGTCATGACCGACCACCTGGTTAACGTGCAGCAGGAGCTGGTGAACACGCAGCAGCTGGTGGACGCCAAGAAGAACGAGGCGGAGACCGAGGAGCATCTGAAGGCCCTGAAGAGCAGGGAGCTAGGCCGTCTGAAGGCCGAGGCTGTGCGCCTGCAGAAGATGCTCGACGACGTCCAGGATCAGGTGAACAGCTACTCCACGGAGCTGATGCGGGGCAACGAGAAGCTCGACCAGTTCAAGCTGGAGATGAACTGGAACCAGGAGGAGCTCGAGCAGTGGGCCATCGCTGCTCGGCAGAAGGAGGAGGACGAGCTCACCCTGGAGAAGTACCGCCGCTCTGACGAGGCCAAGGTCAAGGACCTGACCCTCGCGATCGAGAAGCTGACGGTGGAGAGCTCGAGCAGGAAAAAGGAGCTGGCGGACCAGGTGACGGAGACGCAGGCGAAGCAGATAGAGATGGAGAAGACGGCCGAGCTGTTCCGTCAGCTCCACGAGGATCGCCGCAGGATCATCGCACAGTGGGAGGATGCCGTCAAGAGCATGCAGAGCCGCGACAACCAGCTCGAGCAGAAGGGGGAGGAGTACGCCGCGGCCATGGCCCGCAAGAAGGCCAAGGAGGACAGGATGAAGGAGAAGAAGGCCATCTGCGCCAACCTGGAGGCCGAGAACGAGAGGCTGGAGCAGGCGATCCAGCACACGGACAGGCAGCTCACCAAGATGCGCGGCGACCAGATGGAGACCAAGAACGCCCTCACGAACTTCAGGGACGAGGTGGAAGTCATGAAAAACCAGCACAGGGCCGTCGAGCAGGAGAAGCATCAGACCAAGAATCAGCACGCGGTAATGACGAAGCAAGTCGAGATGAAGTCGATGAAGTTCGAAATGGCGGTGAAGCAGCAGCAGGCTCATGCCACTGGCCTGCAGGAGGCCCACAAGGTCCGCGAGAACAAGCAGGAGCTCGCCAAGCAGGCGGAGGAGCTGCAGCAGCAGATGATGAGCAGCCTGAAGGCCGTGGAGAAGGAGGTGAAGTCCGCGAAGGAGAACCTCTACAAGGAGAGCCAGGCCCTGTACAAGCTGCGCGCGGACGAGGCGACCACGCTCGGCGAGATCAGCGGGGCCCAGTCGGCGATCAAGAACCTGCAGTTCCAGATCAGCAGGCTGGACACGGAGAGGCAGCGGCAGCAGGAGCTGCTGTACCAGGTCGACTTCCAGTCGCAGCTGATGCAGCGGAAGGTGGCCCGCGTGTCTGGAGAGCGCACCGTCGAAGAGAGGGACGACTACAACAAGAAGGTGGAACAGCTGGAGAAGCAGACGGAGGACCAGAAGAACCTGCACGCCATCCTGTCCGCCCAGATCAAGCGTCAGGACGCGGCGCTCAAGAACGCCAACCGGTCTCTGGCCACCATCAAGAAGGAGAACGATGACATGAAGGAGACCATGGAAGAATTGGAGCTGTCCAACACCATCCTTGCACGCACGGTGGGTAACGCAGTGAAGGACAAGGAAGAGGCGCTGATGCAGCACGACATCCTCAAGCTGGAGGTGAAGCGCCTGAGACAGAACCTCACGTCCAAGAGCGAGGACCTCTACAGCCTGGAGAACAGGAAGCAGCAGCTGCGGATCAGCATGGAGGAGCGCGAGAAGGAGATCGAGGTCCACACCGAGGTGCTGGAGGCGCAGCGCAGGGGCGCCGAGGAGGAGAGGCACAAGGCCGCGATCGAGCTGGCGGAGCGGAAGCAGAAGATCTTCAACCTGAAGAACAAGTACGAGAACCTGATGTGCAGGGTCAAGAAGGAGGATCTTTGATGCGTTTTGGGTTTACACTGGTCCTCCTCCTCCTCTTCCTCTTCCTCCTCCACCTCCTCCCCCTCCTCCTCCTCCTCCTCCTCCTCCTCCTCCTCCTCCCTCCTCTCTCCTCCTCCTCCTCCTCCTTCCCTCTCCTCTCCTCCTCTCTCTCCTCTCCTCTCTCCTCCTCCCTCATCCTCCTCCTCCTCCTCCTCCTGCTCCTCCTCCTCCTCCTCCTCTCCTCCTCTCTCCTCCTCCTCCTCCTCCTGCTGTTCCTCTCCAAGGAGTGCTCCTCTTGCTCCCCCTCCCTGCTCCTCTCCGAGGAGGGCGAGGAGCAGCACAGCCAGGCGCACTACATGATCAGGGCTGCCCAGGAGAAGGAGGAGCTCCAGCGGAAGGGAGACGAGCTCGACGACAAGATCAAGCGGGCTGAGAGGGAGATGCGCGCCCTGGAGAACACGCTGGGGCACCTCGTCAGCCGCAACACGAAGTACAAGGAGAACTTCCAGCAGGCGAACCAGCAGACGCAGTCGGAGGTCGAGGAGAAGCAGATGCTCGAGGAGCAGTCGCGCGCGGCGAACGAGGTCCTCTTCAGAAAGAAGAAGCAGCTGGCGCAGCTGGACCGGGAGGTCGAGGAGGACAACCAGCGCTTCCAGGAGCTCAGCAGCAACATCCAGCAGATCGACCAGCACATGGCCGAGCTGGAGGCGGCCAGGGGCGTCCTCCGGGACGACATCAGCAGCCAGCACGAGAAGCTGGACCGCGCCGAGCGGGCCGTCGAGGTTCAGGAGGGAAAAAACACACAGACACAATGAATCGTCGATTCCACAGAAAATATGGGAAAATATGGGAAGTGGGGGGGAAGACAAAAACCCAGAAAATATGGGAAAATATGGGGCATGTTTTTATTTATGTGTATTCATTTGTGTGTCCTGGGGCCCCTTCAGAGGTGTCCAGGCGGAGAGCGAACCAGGCCGGGCTGGACCTGGGGCCCGAGGCGCCGGCGACCGTCGACGTCGAGGCCAGGTCCCTGAAGCACCAGAACGAGAGCGTGCTCCACGCGCTCACGAACGCCCTCCAGGATCGGGCGACAGAGCATGCGAGAGCCGGGCGAGGAGGAGGAGGAGGAGGAGGAGGAGGAGGAGGAGGAGGAGGAGGAGGAGGAGGAGGAGGAGGACTTCTTTCGCACTGGGCGCTCCTTCGCCCGGCCCCGGGCCCCGGGACCAGCGCAGGTCGGCCTGGCCCGAAAAAAGTGCCGCAGGGGGGCGGGGTCCAGGGCTCCGGCCGCTACTGCGGAGGCCTTGCGGCCGCTGCCGCCGACCAAGAAGGAGACGACGACGACGACGACGATGACGACGACGACGACGACGACGACGACGACGACGACGACGACGACGACGACGACGACGACGACGACGACGACGACGACGACGACGACGACGACGACGACGACGACGACGACGACGACGACGACGACGGCGGCGGCGACGATGACGACGCTGATGTCGGCCAGAGTCCTCAGGGATGCTTCTAGGGGGCTCTTCGGAAGGCTCTCGGGGGCCTGTGGGGAGGAATTCTGGAGCCTCTTGGTTGGGGTCCAGGGCTCTGGTCGTTACTTTTCGCGATGCCTTTCGACCTCACGGAGCACCGTGCACGCGCTCTCTGAGCCTGACCAGGCCCTGCCTTGGGCCCGGGGACTGGTGCGTGGCGTCCTCCGGGCTTCACCCGCTCCGAGCCCGGGCCCCCTCGGGTCATGAAAAAATCACGGCGGGAGGTTTTCCCCCAATTTCGGCCTCTGGGGGACCCTACCGGGCCTTGGGACCGTCACCAGAACTCTCAGGATGAAAAAAACTGGTTCTGGGGAGTCGGTCGAGATCTCTGGGGGTTGACGTCATGCAGAAATCATGACCTCGGGCCCCGCCAAGATCGGTGTGCGCGCAAGCTCCGCGACATCCGCCGGGCTGGTGTCCTTGGCGGAGGAGCCCGCGGCCCCAGAGCTCCCGACCGCTTCCGGGGCAGTTTGTTTTTCGTCCCGCGTCAATTTTTTATATACATATATTTTATGTATGTATCTATGTATGTATGTAGGTAGGTAGGTAGGTCGGTCGGTCGGTCGGTAGGTAGGTAGGTAGGCATGCATGCATGTATGTTTGTATGTATATGTATATGTATGTGTATATGTACATGTATATGTATATGTATATGTATATGTGTATGTGTATGTATGTATGTATGTATGTATGTATGTATGTATGTATGTATGTATGTATGTATGTACGTATGCATGTATGTATGTATGTATGTACGTATGTATGTATGTATGCATGCATGCATGCATGCATGGATGGATGGATGGATGGATGGATTGATGGATGTATGTATGAATGTATGTATGCATGTATGTATATATGTATGTATGTATGTATGTATGTATGTATGTATGTATGTATGTATGTATGTATGTATGTATGTATGTATGTATGTATGTATGTATGTATGCATGCATGCATGCATGCATGCATGCATGCATGCATGCATGCATGTATGTATGTATGTATGTATGTATGTATGTATGTATGTATGTATGTATGTATGTGTGTATATATGTATGTGTGTATGTATGTGTGTATATATATATATACAAAATGCCCCGCCCGACAGCGGCCCCAGAGCGAGGGCTGAGCTCGAGGAGCCGAGCCGCCGACGGGCAAACATCACACCGCCCGAGATCTCTCTCTCGACCTGCGCCTGCCGCACCGTCCGCGCGGAAGATGCCGCCGCGATGCGGCCGCGGCGGCCGCCGCTGCGGCCTCGACGGTGGCCGCCGCTGCGGCCGCGGCGGCGGCCGCGGCAGCGCGGCACCTGCAGCGCGGAAGGCGCGGACGGTGCAGGTCGAGGAGCGCCGTGAAACATTATGGGGGGAGTTTTGTTGGTAGTCTTCGGCCTCTGGGGGCCCTCGCTGGGCCCCAGGACCTTCAACGAAAACGGCTCTGGACGGAAAACCGGGCCCGAGCCGCACCGGCGAGAGGCAGTGCCCGCATGGGCCGCTGCAGCGACGAGCATCTCTGTATAACTCATCCATGGCGAGAGGCGGTGCCGCCCGAGGTCTCGGTGTCGTGTGACGTGACCGATCGCCGTGCGTGGCGAGTCCCAGGCGCTCAGACTCCTTCGTTTGCTCCGTTGTCGTGGGGAAAACAACCGGTCCCGGGAAAAGGGCCGACACCGCGGCGGCCCGACGCTGTGAGCAGACCACGGCGGTGCAGGCCAAAGGGGACGTGTGCGCGGCCCTCCTTCAAGCTTCGCGCGGCCCGCTTAGCTTCGACCGGAAGAGGTGCGCTCTCGACCCGCGGATCAAACAAGTGTGCGCGGCCCTCCCGGTCCTCGGGCAAGCCCTGGCTGGGACCTGGAGCTCCCGCCCTCCCGCAGGAGCACCCGGACGATGTGCTGCCCCTCTTCGAGTCGCTCTGCGCCGAGCGGGGCCTGCGGAGGCCCTCCAGGCTCGGATGAGGAGGAGGCGACGGATGAGGAGGAGGAGGGGGAGGAGGAGGAGGAGGAAGAGGAGGAGGAGAATGAGGATGAGGAGGAGGAGGACGAGGATGATGCTGATGATGAGCAGGAGGAAGAGGAGTAGTATAACCCAAGAGTCATCAACAATGTCTGACTCAACCCTCTCTCCAAGCTCACTCTTCATAGGCCCCTACAACGGTTCATTTCCATTGAAGGACTCGACCCGCTGGAAGACAACCGTTTGAAGATACTGAAGCATGCCAAAACATGATTCTCGGGATTTTAACGACACGAATCAGCCTGACTGCTGCGTCTTGACGATCTGGAATCGTGCCAGACCGCCATTGTTGGGACTTCAACACCGCGAATCAACATGACCGTTGCACCCGCATAATCCTGATTCCTTCCAAGACATCATTTCTTGTACGTTGATGATGGGAGTCCGGGAAACTCTTGTAAACGTTTAAAGCGAATGTACGCGGCGCTATAGCGAGAGCCACATTCTGAAATGGTTCCGCCCTCAATTCGTGAAGCTCTTGCAATTTTCTGTAAACGAATAATTTGTTAACACGAATGTGCGCGGCGCTCAGGCGAGAGCAACATTTTGAAAACGACCCACCCTCAATCCGTGAAGCTCTTGCAAATTTTTAAAACGAACGTGCGCCGCGCGAAGGCGAGATCCACATTTTGTAAACCACCCGCCCTCAATTTGTGAAGCTGTTGCAATGTTTTAAGCTTCGGAGTCTTAATTTTTGAGGAAGTCTCAGGCGACATGCCCGGCCCGCCCTAAACTTGATTCGGGGTGCGGCAGGGAGAAGTTATTTAATCGCTTCGCTCATTCCGCCGGCCCATATTGCCTCGCCGCTGTCGTTTGTCGGGGTGTTGTTGTCAATGCGGTGCGGTTGGGCGGCTGCCATTTTTCGGAGGCGGTGGGTGACGGGTCAGAGGCCTCACGGATGTTGGTTGGGCTCTCGTGGTTGGGCTCTCAGGGGCCTTTTGTGAGGCAGTTTTGAAGCCTCTTGGGTGCCGTGTTGGGGCCGTGTTGGGGCCTCTTGGGGCCTTTTGGGGGCCTCTTGGGGCTTCTTGGGATGCCTCGTGGGGGCCCCTTGGGGCCTCTTGGGGGCCTCTTGGGACCTCCTGGGGGCCTCTTGGGACCGAAGGCTGGACTTTTCGGTTCCTGGTCACCTTCTTGGGCCCCTCTTGGGGCCGTTTCGGGGCTCTCTTGGGCAGTCTTGGGCGCCTCTTGGGCTGTCTTGGGGCCATCTTGGGCCGTCTTGGGGCTGTCTTGGGGTCCTCTTGGATCCTCCTGGGGCGATCTTGGGGGCCTCTTAGGCCATCTTAAGAAGAAACCCGAACATGTTTGCAAAACCAAAGGGCCTTGGGGCCCTCTTGGGAGTGCTTTTGGAGGCCTCTGGGGGCGTCTGGAGGCCATGGTGGGCGTCTTGGAACGATTTTGTGGCATCGTCGGCCGGTCTTTCGAGGACTCCAGGGGCTCTTGGACCGTCTGGGCGCTCTCTTGAGGCCGTCTTGGGCGCCTCTTGGGCCGTCTGGGGGGCCTCTGGCATCTCTGGCGGGCACTTGCCGGGACTTTAGCGCGGTACTTGTCGCGTCGGGGCCACCACGGGCCGCCTCGCGCGCGCGCGTGAACTGGTTACCGGAGATCTTAGCACGCCTCTGGCCCGTTGGGCCGGCAATTTTTTTCAAGGAAAAGGAATGGAGGCGGAGGAGGAGGAGGAGGAGGAGGAGGAGGAGGAGGAGGAGGAGGAGGAGGCCGAACCCCGTTGCGCGCCGCCGACAGGCCGCCGTCTGGCGCCAGCTCGCGGCCCGCCAGCGGCCAGCTGAGCGCTGGCCGGCGCACGCCCGCCTGAGGCGGCCGCGGCGGCCAGCGGCCCCGCCGCTGCCGCCCAGCGTCCTCGGGCGGAGGGGGGTCGGCAACACCCCAACATACTTATACTATATGCGCGTCGCCCCCCCAGGGGCGGCGCGCGCACCGAGAAATCTTATAGTATATGCGTCGTGGCGTGCGCTTTCTGGCCACACCGCTCGGGAAACGATATACTACAAGACGGGTATACTATATGTTCGGGTCGGACGCTCGCCTCCAAGGAGGACATATAGTACTAGTATGTCTCTGTGTTTCCCAGGGGGCTGCCATGCGTCGAGGGAGCAATCGGCCAGGCGCGCAAGTCGAGCAGGCGATCGACTGCAGAAACCGCTTCCTCCAGCATGTGTTTTTGCCGCCGAGTGCGCAAGAAGCGCGTATGATGTTCGCAGCTCCACGGGGCAGTTCACGCACGTTTCGCAAATTCGGCGGGAAAGTCAAGTTTGGGGTAAAGGGTAAATCAATTCTGTAGTCGATTCCCTATTCGAGCAAGGGGGTATGGGGGAGAGGGGAAGGCTTCTCAGAAGGAGGCTGCTGCTTAGAAGGCGCGGGCCGTGTCTGTAGACGTAAAGCTGGCGCCTCTCCTTCGAAGAAGTCTTCCCCCCTTCCCCTGCCCCCCTCTGCGCGCCGCCAAGGGGGGCCGCCAAGGGAAGAATCGGCCATGCGCGCAAGGGGGTACGGTCGGACCGAGATATACGATCGAGGTCGGTTCGGGGAGGACGCCCCAATGTGCTTCGTGCTTGTTGGGTGCTCTTGTGCATCCTGGGGGAGGGCACTCTCGAAGGTTCTCCAGTTTGGGCCGGCGGAGACTCTCGAGCTCTTGAAGAATGTTCTTCTGTCCTAGGTCCCACCCCATGGGGGAGGGGCGACGGCTTTTTAGAAGGAGGCTGCTTCCTGGCAGGCGCGTGCTTTTGTCTGTAGATGCAAGGCCGGCGCCTTCTAAAAAACCAGCCTTTCTCGAAGACGCCTTCCCCCCTCCCCCCTACCCCCCTCTGCGCGCCGCCAAGGGGGGCCGCCATGCGTCAAGGGAAGAAAAGCTCGGGGACCATGTCCAAGATGACGCGGGATTCAGCTGATGCCGATCTTAGTCACGGTCCATGTCGGCCGTCGCCGATTCGCGAGGATGATCCACGAACTGGCGCTGGCCAAGACCGGCAGTGACCAAGATCGACACCACGTTTCCACGTTCAGTCTTGGTCGTGGTCCCCCGTTTCCTTCCCCTCGACCGCGCCCCGCGGGGTGTGCGCAGCCTCCTTCTCCTCCTCCTTCTCCTCCTCTTCTACGCTGGGCTCCTCCTTCTCCTCCTCCGCCTTCTCCCTCCTCCCTCCTCCCTCCTCCCTCCTCCCTCCTCCTTCTCCCTCCTCCCCAGGACCGGCTTTTCATCCGAGTCGTCTTTTGACGGCCCTGGGGCCCGGCGAGGGCCCCCGGAGGCTGAAAATCGCCCGAAACCTTCTTCACGACTCGAGTGGGCCTGGGGCCGCGTCTGGAGGCCGCGCCGCTCACGTGCCCGGGGGTTGTCCGAGGTGCCCTTGGCCCAGGGTGCCTCCCGCCGGTTTTCGCGCTCTCGTTTTTTGGCACTCCTGGGGGCCCTCGCGGCCTCGTGAGGGGTGCTCTGGCCTTGGCCTCCCAGATGGGGTCGGAGCCGATGGGGTCGGAGGATGGCGCCGCATCGCCGATGCATCGGCGATGCAGCGACGATGCGGCTCGATGCGGAGACCGTGATCCCACGCCGACGTCGCCGACGCACTGCCGACCGTCACCGAGGCATCGCCGATGCGTCGCCGACGCATCGGCGACGCACGGGCGCCGCGGCGCGATCCTTCGACCCCATTATGCTCGGACCCTCCCTGCCTGGGAGGCCTCCGTCTGGAGGCCGCGGGGGCCTCCTCGGAGCTCCCGGGGGGGCACCCCGGGCGCCATGGGGCACGGGCCGCGGGCACCCGGGCGTGAGGCAGTGAGGCGTGAGGCTGTGAGGCGTGAGGCGTAAGCCTTGGCAGCCTCCTCCTCCTCCTCCTCCTCCTCCTCCTCCTCCTCCTCCTCCGCGGCGCCCACGGATCCGCCGCCGCGCGGCGGCCCTCCTCCGCCGCCCGGCTGGGCGGCCAGGCCCACGGCACGCGCGCCCTCTTCTCGGAGGGGGGGGGAGAGTCAGGCGCAGCGTTCGGGTGACGTCGGGCAGGTCCCTCTACAGTTGTGGAGGGCGATCCGTGGAGAGGAAGCGTGCTGCCAGATCCTTTCCAGGTGTCTAGGACAAGACATGTGTTCAGCAGGTCTTGAACATGTACAACACATGCCTACAACATGTCTAGAACATGTTCTGACATGTTCAACACAGTTTATATTCAGTGATAGGACTGTTAGGTTGTCCACTATCGTGGCATCCACAACTCTACAGGAGGAGTGCTCAAGAATGGTAGCATAATAGCCTGGACGCTATGTTTCGTGCTCTCTTGACCGTATTTACATATTTTATGAATATTCTTCCTTTTTACTCGCAACATCCGCTGGTAGGAGGACGTGCCCGACCTAACGATAGGGGGGATACATCAGCGCAACGAGAGTTTTGACCCGTGCCGTGCTTCCGCCAAGACAAGTCTTAGGCGGGAGCAACACTGCGACTTCGAGCTGAAGAAGTGCCGACCTCAGTTTTCGAGGAAGTCCTGGGCGGGAGGGCGATTTCGAGATCGAGCCCGAAAGGCGCCGCATTCATTCGGAAAAAGGTCCTGGACAGAAGCACCATCTCGAAATCGAACCGAACAGGTTTCGATGTTTCTTAATTTGGAGGAACTCTTGGGCAGGAGCGCCATTTCGAAATCGGGCCCGGAACTTCCGAAACCGTTTGGCACTGTCTGTGGGAGGAAATCTCAAGCGAACCGTCGTTTCGAAATGGCCCCGCCGTTTGGCATCTGAAATGTTAAATGTGTGACCAGAGGTTTCGAAAGTGTGGTTTTTGCCTGAGACATCCTCCCCCCAAAAAACGATCTCGGCTGGATTTCGAAACCGTCGGGTTCAAATTCGAGGGGGTGGTTCCGCCCGAGACTTGGGCAAAACAATGCTTGAACAGATCATTGTGCTGGGGCCCCGCGGCCTAACGGCCCCTTTTGACGTCTCCTCTCTTGTCGCGGGCGCAGCGCCTTGTACCTGGGCCCCGTCGCCTAACGGGAGGCGCCGCATTTTGGCCGAACCTTCGCAGCGGCGAAGTAGGCAGAGGGGGAGATGCATCGATTCCTAATCGCTCATTGATCGCCGATAAGGGCCCAATAGCCCCAACCTGCCTAGGAACATATCGGGGGCCTATCGCCGATCTATCGGCGATGTATCGCCGATTCTAGGTTGATGTTCCCCCCCTTTATGCTAACACGAAGCTTTGTTATTCGGGCCGTTCCTAGGAGGAGGAGGAGGAGAAGGAGGAAGAGGAGGAGGAGGTGGAGGAGGAAGCGGAGGAGGAGAAGGAGGAGGAGGAGGAGGAGGAGGAGAAGGAGGAGGAGGAGGAAGAGGAGGAGGAGGAGGAGGAGGAGAAGGAGGAGGAGGAGGAGGAGGAGGAGGAGGAGGAGGAGGTGGACTTGGGCGGGGGAGTTTGCTCGCGGCCGAGCCCGGCCGTGGCCAAAAAAAAAACCCTTCGTTCCAAAAGCCCGTCCTGGGGAAGGGGTCGGGGCTTCGGGGGACCCCGTACTGAACAAAATCTGCACGTCGCATGTCTGGGTGCCGCTCCGTCGTTTTCGCCTCTCGGGGCCTCCTGGGAAGCCCTCGCCGCCACGGCTGGATCGGCCGCGAAACCTTCTAGTCAGAAGGCAAATTGGGAGAGGTCCGGGGAGAAGGTTCATGCGGCGTTGGCGCACTGGCGACGCCAGCGCAGGCGGCTCAGGTTGAATTCTGCGACGCGGAAGCACCGAGGGACACGGTGCCGCCACTGGACCCGACGGAATTCAACCTTGAACGATCGGGACCGCGACCGGTTCAAGGTTGAAAGGTCGACGTGGTGTCAAAAACCTTTGCGCGCGCCGACGTCGCGTGAACCTACAGACGGACTGAAGTATACGATCGAGGTCGGTTCGGGGAGGGTACCCTCATGTTCTGCGTGCGCCCTGGGGAGGGCCTCATGTTCTTGAAGGATCTTCTTCTGGCCTAGGTCCGGCTGCACCGTAGCGGTATTGGTATCTTTGGGTTCCCCCTCCTCCTCTGCCCGCTGTCTGCTGTCTGCCGCCGCCCGCCCGCCTGCCTTGGGGCGCGCGCGCGCGGTGCCCTCTGCGCTTGCCGATGGCGATCGCCATGGCAGGAGCGCCGCACTGCCGGACTGGTCGGGGGAGACCTGGCAAAAGACGGGGGGCCACGGCTTCCCGGGCCACCCCCGCCCAGCCCGAAGGTTCCAGACCCCCCCCCCCACACATGTCGGGTTGGTGCGGGGGTGACCGGGTGCCGCTCTGTGCTTCTCGATGCTCCAGAGCGTCCCCCCGCTGGAGCCTCGCAGGCCCAACGGCGGCTTCGGGTTGGGTTTGGGGGGGCGTGGGGGGTAGTCCGGGGGGATAGAGGGGGGGCATTGACCTGCACCTTCCGCACCTTTCGGGCGGAAGATGCAGCCGCGATGCGGCTGCGGCGGCCGCGGCGGCCGCTGCGGCCGCCGCTGCAGCCTCGACGGTGGCCGCCGCTGCGGCGGCCGCTGCAGCGCGGCACCTGTGCGGAAGGTTCAGGTGGATTGGGGTGTCCTCTGGAGGGCGTCCTTTGCCCGCTGCTGATCGCGAAGGGGCCTGCCCACAACATGCTCTCACGTGTTGCGCGGACACACCGATGCTCATCAAGCCATGTAGCACATGAGTTCCGATGTGACTGATCCGAACGTGCGTGTGAGTACACGTGTTTGTCTTCGCTCTCACTCGCAGTCACATGCGTATGGATGCAATGGTTCGAGCTGTGTATGATTCTAATCGAATCCCCACTTGCTGTAGCAGAGCTATAGATCACCGCCCATGTATGCGATATCGTCATGAACTG